GTCTTTGTACAGTCAAATACACAAAAACAGTAACACAACTAATAATCTCATTTGAACAATGTCTGTATTAAACAACATACGTGGTATATGAAACCACAGGTTATTTTCTTTAAGGCATGCTTTTAACCAATTTATTTTAAGAGTTCCATTCATGAACTCAAAGTCTATGGTCTGTAGTCCTCCATCTTCATAATATTTAGTCATATATGTTTTCTTAATATAATGTACTCTTTTCTTCCAAATACAGTCATAGTTAATCTGATTATTWTTTTAATWGCTTTGTCTGGGATAGATAAASAGTAAGCTGGATAAATACATCTARATAATGATTCCATTTTAGTTAGGAATATCCTACCAAACAGACTAATGTCTCTTAGCAAACACAGATTAAGTCTAGATTGACAATAACCTTTGTACAGTAGCGGGTTGAGATAGCTTTAATTGAAAAAGCACCACGGATAAGAAGCCAAATATATTCTAAATTCTAAACACCACGTTACTTTCGTTCTAACTTCATAAGATTAATATGCCCTGAATGACTGGGAAGCTAAATGTAGCTGTTAGCTTCTGCTAAAGCTATCAGCAGCGGAAGTTGACGGTGCAACATCCGGCGGCGGAATGAACGAGGCAGCTAACAGCAGCTTTAGCTTATTGTCCTGTTTGAGCTGGATATTGTAGCAGTCTCAGTTGCAATGTCTTYAGTTCAACGTCTGAGGGAGTTTATCAGAGAACGGCTGACTGCTGCCGTCGAAGAAATATTCACGGAGTTTGAAAAAACCATCGTCCTGTTCGAGAGAGAGATCGAGCGTCACCACAGCCTGCTGGATACCTGCGAGAAGAGAGAGCAGAGAAACTTCCACACAGCAGGTAGGAATCACAGGACTGCGTGGGGTGAAGGAACGCTGAAATGGTCCCAATAAATGCTTTACATTTATAGAAAAGAGGGGAAAATAACACTACTTCTGCATTGTTCGTTCATTTACGTAAATGAACGAACAATGCAGAAACATTTTGTAGAAAGTTTGTTGAAGATACAGGGGAACTAGATTGGCGTAAAAATCCAGGATGTCCTGATGAAGGCTGGCTTTTAGTTGAAATTGTAGCTCAATTACGTGGTTGCGTGCACCATCTCCAGCCTGTTCTTTAAGCTACTTAACGAGGCCACCTGTTAATCAATCAACAGACCAGTCAGTGATCCATGTTGTAAGTCAGAGGCCCTTTAGCTGCAGGAGAATTAACTTGTTTAGCTGTCTGAATAGCCCAAACCTTCTTTATATTGCTATATTCTAATGTAGAATTAAACTGTGTAGGTGTTCATGATAACACCTGTAAACTGATACTCCCACAGAGAACATCGTGCATTTTGGAGTGATGGAGTAAAAGTTTATTTTAAATATTTTTT